CACCTAATAAAAAATGTCCAAAGCACAGTCTTAGTGGTTCAAAGAAAATGGAGTAATTTAGAGAAAACACTAGAAACCTGTTACATTCTGGAGAGGTTTTTATGATGTGGTAATGCTGGGTAGCAGGGATTAACCTGAAGATTTTCCTCATTAAATCTTCTGCTTTTGGAAATTCTCTAATTTACAGAGCTCTGTCACCTAGCAGCATCCCCCTCACATCCAAACCACTGTATGCTCAAAAGAAACCTCAGATGATTTAGATAATTTTAATTATTTTTAAAAATTTCCAGATCCTTATCCACTCAATTTATATAAATTGTCCTTAATTTTAAGGGCTGTGCATGCTGGCAATTTATGTTTTGTCACAATGAAGAAAAATAAATGCGCTATCATTTTCATCCTTTCTTTCCTAAGAGTGTATCTATCTGAAGAAGACCATATTGATGGATTTTCCCTTCTTTGTGAATGTAAAATACATCAGCTGCTTTCTGCAAAAAATACTAGAATATCAGCAGCCCAGCTCTTATGCTAGATGCAATAAATCCTTAAAGAGGCAATAGAGGTGAAGCAAAAAATCAGGGGGACATTTCAGTGTTAAGCTTTTTTGTTGATTACAAGAGATTGCAAGGGTCTGAACCAGTACAAAACCAGTAACTATCTCTTATTTTGTTAGAACAACAAACTCCTAAACAATGATACGTCTTCTGAGTGCTTGAGCCAGTGACACCATCAGCTGAGAATCTGACAACTCCAACACTGCCAATTTTGTTTGCTGACACAGTTCAGCTCATTACTGTGTCACAACCTCTGAGTAGTTATCTACAGTAAGCCCAAAAAAATGCAAAGTTTATTATTAAAAATTAATTGCTCTTCCCAAATATTTAGGAAGAAACATCAAGTTCCAAACACAGTGGAATATTTCTATAATTTAAAACCAACCCTACAGCTGGTGGCAATATAAATTCATTGCCTAAAGTAGAATTACTTGCATAAAAGACATCTTATGTCATAGCCAAAGCAGTGGGTCTGGGCTGACCTATCTGAGTGACTGCTGCCTTGTCCCAGTGGCAGCTGCTCAAGAGATTTCTCTGGCTGCAGAGGAGGGAGGTGAGGGAGCCCAGCTGCTCCACTGCCTTGCTGGAAACCACGGCTCACTTACAGCTTGTGCCTCCCTGCAAGGACCTCAACTCGCTTCAGCCACACAGAAGGCCAGTGCAGAATCAGAGAGCAAAACCCCACTGCCCGCTCCTCTTTCCTAGGCAAGCCAAAGAAGTTATTCTACCTTAGGTCATCAGACAGCTGTGGATAAAAATGGAGAGATGCCCTCCTCCAGCACCCTGAGTTCTGCCAGCCTCTGGGTTTCAGCAGTGCTGCCTCTGCCCTTACACAGTAGCTCTGTGAATCATGTCCTTGGTGTAACTTGCATTTCTTATTTATCTTGAGCAAAAAGTAAGACTAAACATGGCAGAGAGAATATGTCAAAATTACTGCTGTGGTCTCTTAACCTTTCAGTAAGAGAAGTACGTTCAACTCTCAGGCTGCAAACCACGAGCATCACTGTAATATACACTTCACTGATATATGTGATATTCTCCCTATGCATCACTTTTTATTGTAGCTGGGGAAGGGAAGAGGAAGAAGCTAAAGAAAACCTTTTAAAATAAAAACTGCATATTTCTTTTAGCTGCTGATTTTCCTGACAATTACTAATGAAATACTTCATGGTCCTGCTCTTTTTATGTAAAATATACTCCCAAATACAATCTCCTTCTTCTTCAGCCTTCCCATTTATTTTATACAGATGGACAATTGCACACTTACATCGCCCTGGTGCCTCACCAGTTTCTCTATCAGACAAATTTATGATGAAAAGCAAGGTTGTTGAGATAACAGGGCTGGGGAAGACTGACAGACGGGTATGAATTGTATATCTACCTTTTCACACTCGCCTTCATTTGCCCACCCCAATCTCCCTCTCCTTCTTCTAATTTTTGTTTCTCTTGAAAAATAAATGTCATGCATTTCTTATTAGGTAGTATGGAAAGAAACTTACCTTTACACATCCACTTGTCTGAGAATACTATGTTCCACAATGATAAACTGACAAATGATGAGCTTTACTTGTAAGGAATTCTCCTGCCCCCTTGAGAGTACAGATTTATGCTCTGTCTTTCATCACCTCTAGCCTCCACCAGTGTCAGAAATGATTGATTTGCTCTTGAAATATTAATATTTTCATATCCTTTTCCATCTTGGTATTTTGATCTGATGCAAAATGAGATCACTGTCCAATACTGTAGGTGACACATGACACGAACTGTCACATCTTCTGTTTTCCTACCTCTCTAATCAATCGTTCAAGCATGTAGCTCTTCCATCTGGACTCAAGAACAGAAGCCCCCCTTCAGATAGGGAGGACACAAGCTACAACTCTTTTTATAATTAATTCCTTTCATTCTTTGCTGTTTTTGCCAGATAAAGTTGCCACCAAACAGACGCAACTACTAGTTCTCAAAGACCACTCAGACACCTGCCATTATTTTAGATATGCTGGATTCTCTAGACCAGACCAAAATATAACCCCATCTCTTTAAACACCTGCCAGCTCATGTCTAGCAATCAGCCCTGCCTCCTTACTTCTGCTCTCCAAGTACTATCACCACCTTATCATTATGCAAACTGATAGTTAAAGCAATGTATTTGCATTTGGGTATCCTAGTTCTTCGTGTTTTAATAATATCTGAATGCATTGTTTGTCACTGGCCCATGACTTACATTTTCCCACCATTCATGAAGTATATTCCTATTTAGGATCATATCAAATCTTCTCATTGCACCTTCTGTTTCTCTGACCTTTTTCCTTATAATTTCTTTAGCAAATAAAGTTTACCACATTCAAAACTCCTTAGAGTGCACCTGAAAGGATCAGTTTCCTAAGCTGACTTAGCATATAACCCCCTTTATAAGTTCTCCCCATTAACACCAGCTCCTCCATCTTACTTAAATACAAACGATTTGTCTTTGCTTCGTGCCCTATTTCCACTTGACCATTACTCATTTTATCAGCTCTTATCTTCAACTGGCCAATATTACTTCCCTCCATTATCCACTTGTAAAATTCCAAATTGCCATTGTCTAGGGTGCTGGTCCATGCTCACATTTACCTGACACTGGGGTAAAGAATGTTAACTCTATGGCATCCATTGAGGATTGCCATGCAAATGTAGTAGAACAGATCTCACCCTAAGTAAAAAAAAAAAAAAAAAAAAAAAAAAGGCTGTTCATGCCCATTTCCTGGCTAAACAGTCCTACTTTTTTTTTTTCAGATCTGTCATTCCAATGGCTTCTGGCAATCACCATTGATCATTTGAATATTTCCATTTTATTTTGCATCATTGGCAGGTATGCTGTAATTGATTAGGTGACAGCCTGTGCTTACACGAGTATGAGTTCATTAAATCTTACCCATTTACCTACACCAACACTAGTTGTTTTTATTATAAAGCCTTTTCAATTGAAGAAAAGACAAGGTATTTTCACTTAAGAATTTGAAACTCACATTGTAACTGAGAGCAAGTTTTTTAACCACTTTTACATCCTGCATACAACACTCTACAACATTCTAGAGGGTTAAGCTCACAATAGACTATATTACTGTATCTGTAGTCTATTATTTTGAAATATTTTAAAAGATTTTTCATAACATATTCTACAGTATTGCCTGCAGCAGTGTCTCAAAATCCCTGCTTCTTTCAATCTTGACTTACTTTTTTCATTACAATTCCTACTCAGACTCACACTTTTGCATAAGGAAATGGTTTCAATGATCTCTTCATTTGTTACCTCCAGTCTGAACTATTTCAATTCACATGAGCAAAGGCAGCAGGAGGCCTGCATGGATAAACACGCAACTCCTGCCAAAACTGAAGCACAAAAAGAAAGTATTCAAAAAATGGAAGCAGGGTTGAGATGACCCAGGAGAAATATGGGGCTTGCAGGAATGGAGTCAGAAAAGTCAAAGCAACCCCGAGGTGAGTTTGGTGCAGGTATGTGGAAGGTGGGAAGGGTTTCTACATGAGCAGCAAAGGGAAGACAAAGGAAAATGTGCACCTGCTGCTGAATGAACACCGTTCTTGGTCACAAAGGATGTGGGAAGGGCTGAGGTATTTAATGTCATCTTCTCCCTCAGAAAGGCACCTAATATCTGCCTTCAGGCATCTGAAGCTCCTGCAACCAGGGGGAAAGCCCGGAACAATAAAGACTTTCTCAGTGGACAATGATGAGATTAAGGAACACCTATGGTAGACACACATAGGCACATGGGACCAAACAGGAGGCAACAGAGAGTGCTGAGGGAGCTGGCTGATGTCAAAATTGTCCTTAAAAAGTCACTGCAACTGTAAGAGGTTCCTGATGACTGGAAGAAAGCAAGGTGAACTTGAATCTCCAAGTGTTAAAAAGGTCAAAAAGGAGAATCCAGGAAACCACAAGCAGGTCAGCCCCACCTCTGAACACAAGAAAACACTTTTCTATTACCATGAGGGTGGTCTAACACTGCAACAGCGTGCACAGAGGCATTGTAGAATCTCCATCTTTGGAGATATTCAACTAACCTGCTCTGGCTGATCCTGCTTAGAGCAGAAAAGTTGGAGTAGATGATCTTCAGAGTTACAAACAATAAAACTACTCTTACAGACCAGCTTCCTATATAACTATGCTGAACTCTGTATCTACCATTAGATGCTACTGGGTTTCATTTGTCAAGTATTATGCCAAGTGTACTGCCTTCTAAAGCTCTCAGTGAACCTAAAATTGGCTTCAAAGGAATCTCCTTCTACCAGAAAAAAACATGTGTTTGGTCCAGCAAACACAGTACAAAACATGCAACAGCAAATAAACACGTTTACAAGGGAGGGAATCTGGAACAAACTTGCAAATCAAGTCAGATTAAAAATGCCTTGTTAGTTTTAAAACATAGCTGATAATTGCTCCTCAGACTACATCTTTCCTACCATCATAAAGAATTCATAAAAAAGAATACTTTTACTTACAAATGTACCTCAAAAAGGTATTCAGAATTGGAAAAACAGCAGAGAAAAACCTGCTGGCATTCCAAAACTACTTAAACTGCAGTATGGAAGCAGCCAGGAGGTACTTTACAGGATTTGATGCTGCCTGCTGGCAAACAAGCATCATAGTGGAACAGAAGCCAGAATGGGCTCCAGAGCTGGCAGCTCTGAAATTATCACTGCAAGATTCTGTCTTCTTCATCAGGGCACACTTTGCCTGACTCAGAAATCTGGGATTGTTTTCAATTAAAGCATTAAAAAACAAGGGCAAAAATTTTTACCAAGAAACTTGAATCCCACGGCCAAAGAATACTACGTGGATTAATCATTTCTGTTCCCAGGCTTTTGTTGTTTCTGTCAGGGCAGGAGAGTTAACAGCATATTTGGGCAAATACAGTGAGCACGTGACAGTAGCGATGCTCTAAGAGACAACTCATGTATGGCCTTGTTTCAGACTAAGACTTGGATCCATCCAGCTGATTTAACACTGCTACAATAAACAACATGGATAATTTCCTGCTTTGTCTTAGGCTGCAGAAACTGGAAGCTATCTGCAGCGTGAATCACAGATTTCACAGCATTACAATCTGGGGGCATAACAACTGCAGTGAGTATGACTGAGCTTTCTTTTGCCTTTTATAAAGCCTTGAAAATTACTGTATATATTTTTCAGTAAATAGATAACTAACACTATTGTCATTTAATAGGCCTGTTTTCAGACAGTTATTTTTGGTTTGTATACCTACATTTTTCTTTAGAGTTAAATCAGATGTACAAAAGAAATCATTATTGAAATCATGAAACATAACAGAGCCAACATAAAGCCAGTGAGAACAGACAGGGTGAGATTACACTTCAGCAGTGGACAAAATAACAGCCTCCATAAGAATGATTTAGGAGTCTAAAAGGATGTGGTATTTGTTAAAAACAAAACAAACCCACCAGTTCCCTGATAGAAAAACCTATTAATATTTAATGCAATATTCTCCAGGCTTGTCTTTTGTTGAACTGCTAAACTTTAAGAAAACAAAATTAATATTTTCAGTGAAATAAAAGTTACCTCCTATACTCTCCCAGACACTTAAAAATAGTCTAAAAGAAATTGGCAGCCGTATTAAAAAACTCATTTAATTTTCACAAAAGCTTTTAGGTACTGTTGCAGTGAGAGATCAATATTACCTAGCTGACATAATGGTGAAATAGTTGGGTACAAAGCAAAAATATATAAGCGTAATCAAAGTAAATAAACTGTGATCATACCAGCAGGCCTAACAAAATTAGCTTTAATCTTGAGGATATTTATGAAGCGTATGTGCAATTTTTCATTATAAACTTTCACTTACGGTTCAAGGCTTACCAACACAATGCTTTTTGATAGGTACACAAAACAGTTTGATTGAAATTATCTCCCAAGTGTACATGCAATAGAAAGCAGGCGAACTTCACAACCAAACAGAATGCTTTTGTCTAAAATTCTGGTTTCACATCTGCTAATTAGGACTGTCTCCTGACTGAATTAATTAGCATTAAGGAACCACACACATTGTATCCAGTCCCACTAATAATATCTTTTAAAATAACCCTTCAGGTATCTTGGCAGACATGGAAAAATTAGTATTTAATATTACTCTATTGGACTAATTAGCATGAACAAAAAATATGAAATGCAGGATTTGTAAAAATATTTTCTTATGAAATTATATGTAATTATAGCCTTTTTCACGCATGTGTGCCTTTTAAAATGGTACTTAATCTCTCTTCTCATATATGAAAAATGGGAAACAATAGCAGGACCTATAAAGCTTTTCTCATACCAATGAGCTGCACAAAACTCATCTGTATTTAATGCAAGATTCCCTTTGCATTGTGAACATGTTAATTGTAAAGAAGTTGCAAAGAATTAGAGACTGTTTAAGTATTTTCTGCGCATTACTCACTACAGTTTCCATGTGTCACTAATTTGAAGTGCCACCAAATAATTTTGTCTTTTGTACTCAAACTGACCTTTTTTGATTCCGTCTTTTACTGATCTGCAACATAACAATCATTTGGCTAGCTACCTTGCCATTATATTAATGTTTCAAATAAAACTATTTATTTGCCTAAGACTAATGATTGGCATTAATTCTCCTACAAAGTAGAGTGACCATGACAGCAACAAAACCCACCACAGCCCTGTGTGTATTCTTTGATTTTGTCAACTCTTCCCTTTGCCCACCTGATGAGCCTCCTGCCAGCAGAGCTCTCTAGTGGAGCACCTACGGCCCTCAAGGCTATCAGACAAGCAACCACTTTCCTCCTTTATAAATGCTCCTACATCAGCAGGGACTATATAAATCCTCAGGAAAACATCTGTTGAGAGCAAGATCCACTTCAAAAAAGAGATTTTGGCAACACAAGTAGGAAATATGTTACCACGCACAATAAAGAACTCCACAGGGAGTAAACTGATGAGAAAAAAAGAGACAAAAATAGGAAATATTTGGAACTTCCTTGGAAAAGGTTCTTCTTTGCAAGCAAGGTGACACATACCTTGGAATAAATATCTGCTACTTATAAATGCCAGCAAAAGAGAAAATTGAGTAATGAAGGGACCCACAGACAGAATACTGAATAAATGGCTTTTTCTGGTTTTGGAAGCACATATTCTGTTTTTTAAATACAATATTTCACCTGGAGTGAAATAAAGTGAAATAAAGTAAAGTGGAAATATACCTAACAAGAAAAAGAAAAGCTTACAGAGCAGAGGAGATAAAAACCTACTTCATTTGCAGAAGGTGTTGTTCTAGTATTTATGTAACATAATATAACTAGGAAGCAGAAAACGGGATGAAGGATGAAAATTCCAAATTCTCAAAAAAATGTTGTCTCTTCCGATTATTCTTTACTGCTCTAATTTCAGTGAAGCTCTTATTTTAAGAAGGTGGGGGGTAGGGATGAAAAGGAAGGCAAAAAAAAAAAAAAAAAAGCAACACAGCAAAAGAAGAATTTAACTTCCAAAAATTGCAAAATCATCTACTTTTCATTTTTGCAACAGATTCTGTAAACCCAGCCAAATCCTGTGCTTAGTTAAAAACAGAACAAGCTAAAATAGATGCTGGAAACCAGGCAAGATAGCACAAAAGTAAAGCCAGACAATGAATTCATATAAAATCATGGGATATGCTTTGTGAACTGTGGAGTAACTCAGGATGATTTATCACCAAAATAAAGTTAGTCTTCCTAGAACACACTGAACAATAGTGGTTGCTGGTACTGAAGTGGTGGAATTGAACTTCCTCAATGGTTATCTATTGTGGTTAAGGGAAAATGTTTGCATACCCTACCAGCAGCTCATGCAGGCTATCAAGTACCTCATTGCACTCTGATATTCCATGACAGCAGATTTTAAACTAATCCTCGTGAGTGTGCTTGATGTTAAATTTTATTACTGCTATCAACCTGACATTAGCATTGCCACAAGGCTCTTTGAGATTTTGTGGACTATGCTCTGTGTAGCTAATCCAAGATGTTACATTAAAGCTTTCCAGTTTTTATGGCAATATATTATAATAGAAAAGAAGTTCAATGGTCCAAGTAAGCTTAATGTATGAGACACTTTTCTGTTTTACTTTCTTTTTTGCCATTTTTCCCCTACACTAACTTAGAGATATTTTTTTTTATTTTTTGGCAGATGAACTGAGCTTTTGTCTCCAAAATGAATGAAAGCAAACCCAAAAAAGATATCCCTCTTTCTACGAACTTCTGGAAGTATTGGTAACCTCAGAAGCCCCATCCACAGGCTGCCATGAAAAGCCCTGCACAGCACTGGGTCATTGCACTAGGACGATGCAAACCCACCTCGGCTGCCCTGCCTGTTTGCAGGTGGTTAAGAAAGGAGCTTGCCAGTCTGCAGAAATAGGATGGACAGAAGGAAACCTCAAACATGAAGGGCTGTACAAGACAGCCTAGACATCCCTCTGCATTCGTATGCACAAAATACCTCCTGGTCAATTTTAGCATTTGTTGTATACTGGGATTTAAGTTGGACACTTTGTGAGCACTGTCAGGATTTTGCTCTACCACTCAAGCCAACAAAAGTGAAGGCTTAGGCCTCAATGAAGTAAATACTTTCTACAACTTCTATTTTAACTACATGGCCAAAGTTAACAGCTTGTTTCACGCTGAAGGCAATTGCTTGTTCCTGTGCAAGGCAACACAAAAAAGGTTTGCCCAATCAGAAACTTCATAGAATAAATTCATAAAAGTTTGTCCCCAAAATATTAATCAGAAAAAAATCCCGAAAATATAGGTTTGATTTCATTCACCAAACTTAATATTTCAGGAAAAAGCAATCTAGCAATGACACTCAAAAATCAAACATAGGTGTCAAGTTGTAGAATACTACGAGGGTCAGCAGTACTCTGTTTTACCAATTAGCCTGCAGAACTTCCACTCTGGTGTTAATGTGAGCAGAGCAATGTTGAATGCACTCTCATTTCTGCCTACAAGTATACCTGAGCCAGCCTGGGTCACAGTCCTGTTTCTGACAGTGGCCTAAAGGGACATGCACAGAAGAGATCCCAGCAGAGTCACTTTATAAAGTCCATTTTCCAGTGCTTTCCATTCTGTAACTGAAGGATCTTCCGCAGCTAAGGAAAGCATGGCTTTGACATCCATCGTGGACGTAGCTAGAATTTATCTTTTGGGCACTTTTCCAGTCTCTCCTCAATTCCATGTGAAGTTTTGGCATCTGCAGCAACTGTCAGGAAGGACTTCCCCAGCTTAAAGAGGTATTCTGTGAAACCCTCCTTAAATGAGTCAGCTGCTAATTTCACAAGCCTGTCTCTTTGAATGAATTTAATTCCAGAAGACAGAGGGCAACAGGCTTCTTCAAATCTGACCACAGTTCTGATTATGAAACCCACTTCAAATGTCCCTAAAACCCCATATGTTAATATAAACAAATAAATTCACTTTTCTTGGGTCCTGATTTCTGATGTGGATCTGTTAAAAATGAGTAGCACTTTCATGATTTTTTTTTTTCATGTGAGCTATATCCAAGACAAACTGAAATTTTGAAAACTTCTCAAAATACACTATATTTCTCCACCTGAGGAATATGAAAACCATGAAGGAAAGTTTTAGATTTGGAGACTGACTATAATGAAGACTATATAGGGTTAATACTTTGGTGTAGACAACAGCCAGTGGGTGAATAGTTTTGCAAAAAAGCTGAGAATACAGCCAAAGTATGAGTAATTGCATAATGGCTTCACTATTTACCTTATACATTTATTTATTCACTCTGCACTGAAAACATGAATGTTGCCTAATTATTAAGAAAACAAGGAGACAAGCAGTACACAACATCAGTTGATTATATTTTATATATCCCGTTGCATTCTTTACATAAATATAAATTGCTTAATTGGTTAATTCAGGAGACCTTAATGTGCCATTGCTGCAAAGGTGATCAACAGGAACCTTCTTGCCAATTATCTGACAGAAAAACAAAACAGGCTACAGATGAAACATTAATTACTTCAGTTTATCCTTTTGTCCCTTCTGTGTTGGAGGGAAGCCACTAGGAAGTTAAATACAATGCTCTAACTTTAAAATGCTTTTCTTCAGATTAGGCTTCGAAATGCTCAGGTGCACTCCTGCCAACTATGCACGGCAGCTCCTCTCTCCTGCAAAGCTGCACTTACATATGCAGAAGAGAATATGTATGAGGGAAGCAAGCATATCTTATGTATTTAAAAAATTAAGTTTAAAAAGACCCCAAAGTAATAGTATTTTATGACAGCAGATGGTCTGCCTTGCTGTGGGCACCAAGTGTAGCAAGGGATCAAGAACTGAACATAGCAGAGAAATTATGCACTTTCCCATTAGGGCAAAATGAGAAGGAAGCTGTCCATAAAGCAGTAGTAGACTGCCTGAACCATTTTAGTATTATGTTCAGAGTTTACAAAATCTCTTTGCTAATTTATTAGAGATAAAAGAACAGTGCAACGATGCAGCCAGCCAGGAGCACTGAAGGTGAGAACATGTATGGCCTGAACATCATGGCCACAGCATGACAGCAACATTTTCAGAGCAAATGGAATTGCTGTAACCATGCAATTTATCCACTTATTTTTCTCCTGTTTTGATTAGTAACTTTCTGCCATGTGTGTTGTGAACCAGAATGGCTTTGCCATCTCTGAGGGATACAGATATTCTCCTTCCATTTCTGCTCTTGGAAAAAGTCTGTATTCTAGCAAAGGCACGTACATTTCCTAACTTATATTCATTTTTCTGCAGATATGAGGTTTGGACTTGGGCCTAATGATACAAAATGGCTAAAGGCCAGAAAATTGGATGTGTCATTTCATGTAAATGCATGTTGTGAATTAAGTACCCACCACTAACAGAGTATCAGAGGTGAATTCCTAGTGAAGATATAGCTGTCTATCTTTAACAAATGAGATTAGATATATTTATTAGAAAGAGCCTGAGACAAATTCATCCACAGCTGTCTGATCACCTATCAACTCCAGAGGAAAACAGGGCATATACTGACTTGTGCATTTTGCAGCAGAGCATCATAGTAACAAAACATTTTTCTCAAAGGGAGCTCTGTCCCAGGTAGTAAGTGCCAGCAGAGAGATCAGAAGCATCTGGGCATGGTAACACCTGAAGCTGTTGCACTACAAGCTGCCAGAACTCATTAGCCAGAGTCCAGAGGCAGCAGGAAGCTGCCGTCATCTCCCCAGATGCGGGTCAGACAACATGTGCACAATTCCACGGGCCTGAGGGATGTGCAGTGTCCTTTTCAAGGCTTTTCCCCCTTCAACCTCTTCCCTTTCAATGTCATTGTGACTAAAAGCGAAAGATTAAGTCCTAGTAAAAGGGTTTCTCACAGCCAGATCCCTACCTCCACCCATAAGATAGAAAAGAAAATCGAATGCAGTCCATAATAAGTCACTCATCTCTTCCCTCACAGCTCTTTTAATTAATTCTCATGGATCAGAGCTGGCTCTAAGGAACCAGCTGGGAGCAGACTGCTGCCCAGTAGCAGGGCACCTCCTCCCCATCCCTGGCCCTGTGCTGGGGAAGGGACCAAGCCCTGCAGCACTGCCTGAGCCCAGGAGCTGCCAGTGGGGCAGGCAACTCCAACAGAACCAGCCAGAAAACACCCATCAGCTTGCAGCAGTCCACCAAACTGTCTAAAACAGCATCCTAAATGTCCCCAAGCAAATTGATGAAAATGTAACATAAAGGCGTATTGTATTCATATTTCTAGCATCCCATACTGTCGCAATCATATTTCTAAAGTCTCATACCTTCTTAGTGATATTTCTTGGGGGCAGTTCTTCACAGCACAGACTTCTTCTCTTCTGCTTGTTACTACTTCCTAGTCAGGGCTCCTCTAAGGCTCTCCCTGACTGGCAAAGCCCACCCCCTTTTATCACAGTTATCTTCATTAGCTACAGCTGCAGCCCAATTAAGGACATCGCAGCTGCAGCCCATCAAGAACAACTGGGGCAAGGCCTATATACAGATATTCGATATACAATACAGATATTTTACTAGGACTCCTACTTTAAAGGTGTGCATATTTCAGAAGAACTAAAGTCAAAATCTTAATAAATGTTCTATTTTTTAATTGGTTGCATACACCTTTTTAAAAAAAAAATCAATTCCTGTTCAGAATTCCCTGAGAAAAGCAGAGGAATTATAGGCGATTTATTGTGAGAATTCAGAGGATGCTCAGATTCAGAATGACTGTCATGCTACCAGGAAGTAGGATAGATTTGCTTCCTTATGATAAATAGAACAGTAAATTAAAATGACAGTATTTTAAATGTGAATTTTGTAAAACACACTTTAAATTATAGGGAGCATTCAGAAGCTCTATTCTGAAGTTAAATCCATGTAATCAAAGATATAAGGAAGAGAACATAAAGTATTTCTACTCTTATTTTTTTAAACTATTTGCCCTGTAAATCTATACCCTTAAATCAGTTGAATTTACACATTAGAGATTTGGAAAGTATCAGATGCTTAAAAGTCTGTTTCACTAGCACTGTGAGACACATAAACAGAGAGATTCCCTGCTTTTGCTACCCTAATACCTTCATGAAAAACAAGAGGAAGCAACTGAATGACTGATGGCAGGTCTGGCAAAAGTACATCAGCTTTAAATTACACCACTTCACATCATTGTATTTTTATTTGACGAAGGGCACCTACTGCTAAAATAGCATCTTCAGAAATGATTGTGCAGAGACAGTAACTGAACAAATACCTGACAAATGATAAGAAGTTCGGTTGTTTGATGTAATAAAGCTGCCAACTACAATTTGGCAATACAAAGCCAAAAGAAAAAGCCTGAAACTTGCAACAGAACAGACTAATATAGAATTAGCAAAGCCAGTTTTGCAACAAACTACAGCTAACAGCTAGCATAGCAAGTACAGCTAATGCTTTTATTATGTATGTGCAATAAATACACCAGGAAATGAGCTGCTGAGATACAGTGGATATATGTGTACAAATACACACATGCACACAATTATCAGCCCTAAGAATGGACCTGTGAAAGCAAGCATACCATTCTTGGCTCTCTGCTCCAAAGAATGATTTTAATACCACCCAGAAGTGATGGCAATATCCAGGCTCTCTAATATACCTGCTCAGGGTAGCAAAGTAGCAGCACAAAGGAACAGTTCATTTTTTATTCTACATCTCTCCATTCCAAAAAACATGTCTGGAATCTACTCTGACCTACAAGAGGTGTCAAGTCCCTGTCCTGGCCTTCTTTTTGTACCAAGCAGCTAAAATCAGAGGTCAAAAGCACTATAGATATATTTTTACCACAGGGACCACTGGGTAGGAGAGCAGCTTTATAGTCAATATTAAGCCTTTTTCCTCTAAAAAGGTGGGCAGAATTTGCAGCCAGCCAAAACAAGCCATATCTTTTGTGTCAGGGGCAACAGCTCTGCTTAATTAAAAAATAAAGGAAAAAAAAGTTATTAGGAAGAAAAAAAAATATCTGGAAAATGATGGAACGAAGAAACTTTGGTGAGAATTTGTGAAGTGTAACTGGAGGTTTAAAGAAGGCCCAGTTATTTTTAATGAATTAAATCCTTTTGGGATTGAGAAATGAAGACAAACTTACATTTATGCAGTACACCACTGCAGAATATGCAAACATAATACATTTCATGTGAAGTCATATTTTTTTGTTATTTTTGTTTACTACTTGAGGAGTGAATCCAGACAGAGTTTAAATTTGGTGTGCTACCTGACATATGTGATTGATATAAGAAACAGTAAAATCTTCATGGATTAGTTAAGCTAAAAGCCAGCAGCCTGGAGTAGCAAATGGTATCACATTGAAGCTAAGGAAACACAGGATTTATCAGGTGAGCCATCTCTTTTTTATTTCTAATTTAATCCAACTCCAATTTTGCTTGTGAAAAACAGGCAAAGTTAGAAAGACCCACTTAATAATCTTGAAAGATGTAATAAACCAAAAAATTGCAACAAATTTAGGAGAGAAGTGACTATGCAAATAGCCCTTCCAAAGAGGTGGATGGTTTCACGTGGGAATGAGAGAGCACAGAAAACTACACCACCAGGCTAGGTCCATGTCTGAAGACCTTCCTGGTCTCTGTGCGCTGCCCTTTGTCTACATCCACTTCTTCCATGTTTTGGTCTGGTGCTGTGAAAGCTGTAGGCTTGGTGAGAAGGGCCAACAAAAGCCACTGCACTCAGAATGCTCCTGTGCATGGAATCTTCTTTCAGGTAAGAAAGGAGAACTACTTTATACCAGTGTTATGAAAATTCCTTTCCCTAACTATTATATCATAGAATCATAGAGTGGTTTGGGTCAGAAGGGAGCTTAAAGATCATCCAGTTCCAATTCCCCTGCCATGGACAGAAACACCTTCCACTAGACCAGGTTGCTCTCCAAACCTTTCCAGCCATCCAGGAATGTGGCAT